ATAGACAAATAAGCACAGAAGTTATCAGATTTATGATCTATTTCTGTACGAGTATAGAAAAATCTATAGAATAATCTATAGGAAAAGTTCTGCTAGGAGGACCTAAGGGAAGTCTGTGCTCTTGAATTTACAAGAGGGTTTCCAGTTATTGTTGTTAGTGTTTGCTCATTTGTTTTTCAGATACTACTTCCAGATTGCCTCAGACTCTTGAGATAAGCTACTGCCTATGCACTTCAACTCAGTGTGTCCCCAGTATGTGAATTAGTATTCTGCCATTAATATTAAGCACAATGTTACTAGGACACCATCTAATGAGAAATGCACAACTGTGTTACTAGAACTGATAGAAAATGTTGAATTCTCCCTAATTTCCTCAATAAATAGATACATTCAGAGATGTGGGGTCTTCACTTTATTTCCTGGCCACTGTGACACGTTATGAGTCATCAAATACTACAATTACCCTATATGACCTGTGAAGACTTAGTCTACATTGGTTCCAGTGGGCATTATTATGTATTAGGTTAAACGTAATCACATAGTACCAGCTAAAAGTAAAAGGTACAGGTCAGTACTACTCATTAAGAGAGCACACTTCTAACTGTCCAAGATAGATGTCCTAGAAAAATAAAGTTAGTTGGTTGTTTCTTCTGAGACATTAGGCAATTAGTATATCCTTAGACTTAAGGAGATTTCTGATCAGCCAGTCACTTCTTGTTTTAAAAAGTGTCTTTTTGCTTTGGGTCTAGCCTGGGCCTGCTACATGGAGTCTATCTTGCTGCTGAGGCTGTTGACAAATTATATGTAGCACTTCTGCCTCAGCACAAGGAAATCACACTTACCTCTTAGATGTCCTCAAAGTATCAATGTGAAGGTTTCCCCCACTTACACATGTCTAGTCTTCCTCCAGCCGCTTCTCTGAGACTGGCGAGTATCATTTTGCATCCCTCAGTGAAAATGCTGTAAAGCATATATTGAGCTGATTTCCAGCTGTGTTTGTTTAGTAGGAATATTTTCTTCTGCTTGCAGGATGGGCAGTTGTTTGGGATTCTTGTCAGAGTTTTCTTTTGATATAGCTTCCTTGTATATAGTTCTTCTGTAAGGGCTTTTCAGCATTGATTACCTTTTAATCCTAAAATGCTTTTTAGCATGTCTTGGAGAGGGATTCTGTAGATGAGTATCTGAACTACCAAACTTAAAATGGCATGAGAAGTTGCATTGAGATAAGCAGAGTAAACATTTTTCTTCAACTAAAAATACATTAATCACCTTTGTCAATGAAGTCATAGCAAAAATTTCTGTAAAAAATTGAAAAATATTTACTTTTTAAAATGTAAATTCTCTTCTCCCCCAATTCTTCTCTAATTTTAATTTAGCATTCAATGAAGTGCTTTTCTTTATGTAATGTATAATTACATATTGTTATATATAATTGTTATAAATGAAATATAATTGAAAATTAATTATAGTTTTCTGTATAATGAATATTTTGTTATCAAAAGAGACATTGGTCTGAATCCAGAATTATTTTTATAAATATAAATATCTTAAAATTGTAGTTAAGTTAGGTCAATACAAAGAATGTTTCCGATTCTGTTTAAAACAGTTACCCAGTGCTGAATGAGCTGGAGCCCCTGGGGTCCACCAGATGTCTTTCTTTGACTCATTCTCCTTTTCTGTTAACCACTCTGTCAGCACATGTTAGGAACTGACTATTTGTAGCTTTAAATTAAATAGCAAAAGAACTATGTGTATTTAATGTCATATTGTTTGTGGACTCTTTTCAGTAATTAAATAATTTAAAAGCTTTTGACAATTTAGCATTCTGTTATACTGCTGGTATATGTGTTGCATCCTCCTTATTTAAGGACATATTTCTGCCTTGAACTCCAGCTTTAATTGCTTACTATGAATGGCTAGGAAGATCACCAGAGTGTACAGTAATGCTGATGAGACAATCTACACCTCTGGGAATGCTGCCTAATATAATGAACTTACCTTTGCTGTATTCCTATTCTCTCACTTTAGGCTGTTTGGTTTAGTTCCGTTTTGTCTTAAAATAGATTGTAACATCTTCCAAATACAGCCTTTGTTTGCCAGTGTCTGGAATCTAGAATAACAGGGCACCTGTCCTTGGATGGGACTTTTTGGTAGAACTGCAATGTAATTATTCCCATATAGGTTTTAATATGGTATACTAAAACTAATGTTAAAATAATAAAACAAAAATTAAAAAGAGACTCAGAAGTGCAACTCTGAATTTTTTATCAGTGAAAACGCTGTATTGTATTTCTAAAGGAAAAATGGGTGGTTACCTTCACTGCTCATGTAGAATGTGACCTGCTCCATTTAGATGAGTTGTTTTTTAAACCCCAGCAGATTCATCACATATAGGTTCCTTACTTTTGTGATATGCCATATGCCATAGCCCTTTCCATTTCCTCTAATTTCCTGCCCCTGTAGCAGACTTCTCATGCTGTCCCTAGCCCCACTGAATAGCCTGAGCTCACTCAGGAGGACAAAAGGAGGAGTTCTCCAACTGGGCTGTGGTGTGACCCAGAAAATACACAAAAGCAGCCTTTCCAGGTGGGGCAGCCTGAACCTCAGCTGAATTGGTGTCATAACAAACATTTCACTGAGGACATTGATTAACAAGTACATAGGCCTTATGCCATCCTCTCGTATGGCAGCTCTCAGAAGATTTTTAAGAACTTGATTAGGTGATGGTCAGCAAATCAATTACTGCTCCCACGCCACCATAAAAACTTGAGTATGCCCATGATAGTCTCCTTTCATGCTCTCAGAGAGCAGAAGGATAGACAGTTTCTGACTGGAACTGAGTATTGGGTTTTTTTGGTTTTTGGTTTTTTGTTTTTTTTTTTTAATTAGAGAAGAGTCTTATTGGCCAGAGTAAGAGAACACAAATGACAGAGAGACTATTTAACAAGGCCAGTAGTTACAGGACAAGAGGTAACAGTTTTAAACTGAGAGATGGTAGGTTTGGATTGGACATAAGGAAGACTTTTTTTTATTACGAGGGTAGTGAGGCACTGGCACAAGTTGCCCAGAGAAGTTGTGGATGCCCCATCCCTGGAGTTGTTCAATGTCAGGTTGGATGAGGCTTTGAGCACCCTGATCTGGTGAAGGTTGTCCCTGCCCATGGCAGGGGGGTTGGACTAGATGATCTTTAGCAGTCCCTTACAACCCAAACCATTTAATTTTGACTTGAGTTTTCATTAGGCTGAAGTTTTTGTTTACTTGGCCCCTTCCCGCCCCCCCTCCTTTTTTTATTGTAGCTTGTTGGCTCTTACAACAACAACAACAACAACAAAGAATTTTATCCTCTTATTTGCCCATTGGACTCATCATTGCAATTTCTTGAGGGTAAATTTTGTCATGGAAGGATGATTATGTGCTTTTCAGAACAATTTAATTTGATGTAGCAATACTGTAACTGTTGATAAATCTTCCAAAGAGATTCTGTAGAAGATCCAAATTAAGTGCAGTAACTAATCCATGTCTGTATTTGAATAGTAGCTAACTGCACTTTATTTTGAATAATGCATTTGTACTATTTCAAAATTAGTAAAAATTATCTGTGAAAAAGGTAGATTAGTCCTACCAAAGAGAAAATATTTTTGTTGGTAATGAAATATTGTGACATTCTACCTAAGTGCCGATATAATTTCATAAACATGTTGAATTGTGTTATCATGGGGAACAGGGGACTCTTTATCTGTGGAAGGTCTAGTTAAGAGAGGCCCAACATTAAATGGAGTTAATATATGGTTTCCTATAATTTGGAGTTTAAACATATTGCTATTGTAGGTGGTCAAGAAAGAATTCTGTGATACTAGGCCTGAAATCATTTAATCAGGAATGTAAATCAGTTATGTGCTTCAGTTACCAAATGTTGATAGACTTGGCTATGGTTGACTGTTGTTTTTTAATTACAGCTGCTCTGTAATGTTGTTGTGTTACCAGGTTCCAAGAAGGAAAATTGTATAGTATGGCAGTTTGCTAGGCCAAATGACCACTGCTACTGCCAAGTACAAATACTACCAGGAGAGGGTTCTTCTATAGGATGATAGCTACATCCCTAAAGTAGTGAATGCCACACTTCCCTATATGTATTTATGTTTGGGTTATTTATTTAAATAATGTTCCTAGTACATGCTTTATAGCCTTCTGCCTTTTGCTACACAAATTTTACCTTATATTGCAGACTCTGCAAGTCATTTGGCAAATGTAATTTCCATCCCTGCATACTAATCGATTTCTTCACAAACACCTGCTATCAGTTATGATAATAAAAATGCCATTCTAAATTGAAAAGGGGCCAAATGGAGCTTCCTAAGGAAATGACTTAAGTGTCTTTCAATGCCTTTAATGTAGTAATGCTCTTTTAGTGACAACACTTTTTTTGAACATTTGCATTTTATGTAATTTTACTCTATTACATCATTTTTCTGTCTAAATGTTTCCTCATAACCATTGCTATGAAGCAGTTCATAGTGAGATTGGAGAGGAACTTCTGTGTTTCCTCTCTTGTGGGATTAAATCCAGCAACTTCACATAGTCAAATTCCTTAGCACAGATCTGATTGGAACATCTGGCTACTAAACTACTATAATTATTAAACGGTTGTATCAGTTCCTATAACATCATAGGGAAAATGTTATAAAGTTGGTGGGTGCTTTGCCCTTGGACTGCATGCCAGTTTCTTCCTAAAATATAAGCCTAAATTTAGCAGCCAGATTGCAAGTAGCATTTGAATTATCCAGGGTCACTTTATGGCTCTTTCCATCCCAGGAAATAACTTCCCAGTAACAGTCCTTGCCAGAACCTAATAATTTTCAGCTCTGCTGGGTCTTGTCTCAGCTCTGAAATGTCTCACTGGGTTTCAACTGTATTGTCATCTCCCCTGACAATGTCCTCTGCATTATTTTTAAGGAAACAATCCATTTTACTGATTTCTTCACATTTTAATTTTCTCTTAGCTCTAGCCGCCCAAGCATATGCGCTAAAGGAAGAGAATGATAGTCTTCGGTGGCAGCTGGATGCTTATAGGAATGAAGTGGAGCTCCTGAAACAGGAGAAAGGACAGCTCTTTCGAACGGAAGAAAGCCTTACAAAGGACCAGCAGCTGCAGTTCCTACAGCAGACAATGCAAGGCATGCAGCAGGTATTGCTAAGGAAAAAAAGCACAGGTCATCTTTTTTAAGGAAAGTGGTACCATGGGGCTGTGCTGTACACAAGACGATTAGCCATTAAGGTCCTGATTTCTTTTTGGAGTCAAAATCTTAGGGATTTTAGATGGCGGAGAGGGGAGGAGGACGTGGGAACGTATTTAGGGATAGTCATTTTAAGAATTAATAAACTGTATACTCATTGATCATTTAAGAATACTCTTTATGCATGTTTATTTAGGAACAAATTACTTCAATACATCCCCTGTTTCTCTCCTCACTTAATCCAATTGGCCCTAATTCTGCACAAAAGTTCAAGAATATTTGTCCAGTGTAACATAGCCAGTGCTCTGTGGTGCCTTTGCATTCATCTGCATCTTTAGATGCATTTCCACTTCTCAGCTTTGTCTTTTTTCTGCTGACTGTCGTTTGAGGATGACTGAGACAGCTCCAGCTCGTCCTGACTACCCTCCTCCTAACTTGCAAGTGGATAGCAACATCAGTGCTATCTCCTGAGCTTTTATCATTTTTGCTGACCCATGGATGTAACCTTTTCATTCATACAATTTTTAAGTGGTTTAATGCAGCAACATAGCTTTTTCTCTGACATCAGTCAGACAGAAACTGCAATGTGTCACTGCAGGGGGTGTTCAGTTTATGTTATCCGTTCCCCTTTGTTTGTCAGTGTGCTCCTGATATCACGCTGGGCAAGTCTTGGCAAAGGACATCCAGACTGCTCCTACTGCTTCATCTCACATGCCCACTAACACATAAGCACCCCTCATTCAACACGCATGTGTACAACCTCTTTCCTGACCAGGCACTTGTGTTCAGCTGCTACATGACAGAGCACAAGGGCAATGGCTCACCACAACACGCGATTGCGCTCCCATCTGGAATGGAGCTTCCAAGATGTCATTGCAGAGGTTAATTTTGCCTCCTTACTCTGTGCCCTGAAGCAACATGTGCACACCTGGTTACTAGATTCCAGAAGGACACAAGTTGTACCAACTTCCAGATTGTACTAAGCTGTTTTTTAGTGACAAAAACCTGGAGACATTCATTTACATATGAGCTGCCTGGTTGGGTTAAGAATTGCGTGACCGTCACAATACCCGTCGAATCCAACAAGTCCTCAAATCCTGTCTAACACCAAATAACAGAGCACAAGACAAGCCTACACATGTGTTTACACGAACGTACACCCTTTTAAGACTGCTGAGTTTTACAAAATTAGGGTGATTTATGGTACAGTGGAATAATTTTGAATCAAATATTTGAAAAATTGAAAATAAGTCATTGATAGTTCAGGAATAAAATCTTTCCTGAACTTAGAAATAAAATAATTAATCAGAAATACTTGGGGTTTCACTATACTTTAGATATGCCTGAGGTCCATTCACAATCTTATCCTTATATAAATAGATACTTAAATATCACTGGCTTCCTGAACTTTAACTGCATGTATAAATATTGTGCTAAATTTTAGCCTGCTGCCAATTCTCTGTTAGAATTAGTGAAAGGTGGACACAAATTGCTACTAAATCAAAATTCTAGAGTCCTAATGCTCATTTTGCGTTATTATAATTTCCTACCTGCAGTCTTGATGAAGAATAATCAAGTCTGTAGAATATAAATAGATTTCTGTTGTAACTTCAAGCAAATGTTGATAACACAAGTCAATAAGAGAGAATGGCTTACATATCACTCTTCAGCTAGCAATGGACATTGTAGTTCCTATTCCTCTGAGAGTTTTTATGTTCATTACAATTTTGCTGTGAGGTTCCAAATTTTTCTAGTTTGACATCTTGGGGTCAGACCTACTAACTCCCAATGGGATATAATTAGAGATGGCCCAAGGAACTGGAGAAGACATTGCAGATAATCCAGTCTGACAATATGCTGAGGAGGGCAGCAACACAGAAGCACAGGAGGTAGAGTTCAGAATATTTGGTGGGAAATTATCAGTCAATTAGGCAGCTGGATGATGGCTTTGGATTTCAATGATTAGCCATAGTCATGACATCCCATAACCTTTGCGCTTTTCATGCAGTTCATGCATGAATATTTAGAAATAAACCTTTGATTTAGATAGACTCTGCTTTATCTCAGCTTGGTTTTGTAAATGGTGAGAGATGACAACCTTAGCTGAAATCTGTCAGTATAGCAGGTGCTCAGCATCTATGGAAATCAGGCTCTCTATGCAATATTAAACGTATAGCCAGGACTCGGGTAGTAATAATTTAACAGGAGACCTGCATTCCCTTTTATCCTTTTGTATATATTAAAATTAATTTCAGACAAGGTAAACCGAATGTCATTGAATTCCTGCATCCTACATATATGTCAGCATTAAAAAAATGTATTCCTCCTCCTTCTTTCTTCTTCATTCTCCCCCGCTTTTTCACACACCTCTTCTTCTAGCTTTGAAAACTAGAGAACAAGTGATTTGAGCTGCAGCCTGAAAAGCAGATTTAGCTGAGAAAAAAATGGATGCATTTTCAGGATTAAGACTTTTTTTGTAAACTTATTTGGTGCCAAACAATAGCAAATAACACAACACCAGTGTATTTTTAATGTACTTCTACCATCTGGACATTTTTCAGGATTTCTTCCCACGTTCTTTCCCACATTGCTGCAGCTCAAACACTGTGTTCAGCTTTGCACCCCTCACTACAAGAAAGACGTTGAGGTGCTGGAGCATGTCCAAAGAAGAGCAACAAAGCTGGTGAAAGGCCTAGAGCACAAGTCTTATGAGGAGCAGCTGAGGGAACTGGAGTTGTTTAGCCTGGAGAAAAGGAGGCTGAGGGAAGACCTTATCACTCCTTACGACTACCTGAAAGGAGGCTGTAGTGAGGTGCGTGTTGGTCTCTTCTCCCAAGCAGCAAGTGATAGAACAAGAGGAAACGGCCTCAAGTTGCACCAGGGCAGGTTTAGATTGGGTATTAGGAAAAGTTTCTTCACTGAAAGGGTTATCAAACATTGGAAAAGGCTGCCCAGGGAAGTGGAGATCTCCATCCCTGGAGATATTTAAAAGACGCGCAGATGTGGCATTTAGGGACATGGTTTAGTGGTAGACTTGGCAGTGCTAGGTTAACAATTGGGCTCGATGGTCTTGAAGGTCCTTTCCAATCTAAATGATTCTGTGATTTTCTGGACTGATGAAATTAATGTTTATTTTCCCTTCCATCACTCCTGCTGATCCGAAGTAGCATCAGCAAAATCATACAGACGTTTGCTTATGAAGTGTACCTTATGGGCAGTAGTAGCAACTTGCTTATTTATTGTATCTAAAAAAGAAAATCCTTTGGACTAAAGACATTGAACTTAGAGGGGTTTTAGTCAACTTCCTCCATAAAACTGTATCACAGTTTAATTTTATACCCAGTGTGAGATCTCAAACAAATAGAAATAATGTCTTGTATCCATGGTAACAAATGAGATACACTTTACCTGATTTTTAGATGGAAATTGAATTAACTTGTCACTGCTGCATAGGTGGTATTGCTTTCAATTTATTCCTGTATGAGAACACACACTTCAAGCAGATCACTTTCCAAATGGCTCTGTTTTTCCAGAGAAAAATTATTCTGTAACAAATCTGTGATCCCAAGGAAGGGTGTTTTAGTTGCAACTATTTTTACAATACTTCGGAGCACAGCTTTAAGAATTTTTTAAATCTTGTCTCTCTGTCTGAAATGTTTTACTAGATAAATGACTATAGGTAATGCAGAAAATGTAACCCAGTAGTGTTGCTTAATGTTTACCATTATAAGACTCAGTTTTCAGTGGGTATATAATTTCTCCAAATTTTAACCATTTGGGTTAGCAGTTGCACATGGAGCAGCAAGCAGCATTCTTTTGAAAAATTCTCATCAAAATATTTCAGCCATTCCAAGAATAAAGCAAAAAAAATATACTTTTCTTTTTTGTTGTCCACCAAAGAAAATTCTTAAGGAAATGCACTTGCCACCTTCATGGTTTGAAACAAGGGCTCAGAATTGAATGGTGAGTTGCTATTGAATTAATGACGAGGTTTCCATATCCTTTATAAATTCTGCCTGAAACTGATTATGTTACAAGCCTTTGAGAAATGTCAGTTTGACACATAGGAGATGGCACTCATTAGCATGTATCCAAGTAAATTTTACATTTTTACTGGTCGTCTGGGGTTGTTCATGAACCACCTCCATAGCACAACCATCAGTGCAATGTTTTAGTCCTCAAGTTAGTCCTAAGCTGACTCAGCAGACCTTCTAGCATGGATCTCTAATTGAGCAAGTTAGTTCCACCTTTTTTGTCAGGCTTAATTGGCCAAGTTATGGGGCCATGCTTGCATGGCTGTACTGATGCCTGAACTGGTTCATTTGCCAATAGACTGGTAATTCTTCATGGTGCTTCATTACATCATGTAAATGTATGATAATGTTCTGTCCTCTCACAACTCCCTGAACATGATGGGCTGAATTTAAGCTCCTGCGGGAAAGGGTGTAATCCAGAAATCCCCATTTAAATCATGCTTTCACCTATGTTCTCTTCAGGAAATGTACACAAGTGCCTATAGTTCTGCTATTGCAAATGCCCGGGTATATCTGGGACATTTAAGAGGAACCTCATTACCCTGGTCCCCTAAAGGGACTGATTCATTAGCTGAGCTCAGGTTCATGCTCCTAACCCACACCAACGGCACAAATTCCCCTTTGTTGGCGGTGATGCATTAAAGCCTAGCTATGGGGTTATTGTATGAGCCAGGGATGTGCGGGTGTGCCTATCCTAAAATTAGTGCTCAGTGTGGAAAGCAAGAACGATAGGTACAGTCGTGGGTGGTAGGCGTAGGGCTGACATAAAGGCTGATACACTCCTGAGGGTGCCACTGACTCTGTTAGCTTGGAATGTCTCAGCAGGAGACTGAACATACTCTGGCCCTGTTGGTGACCCATATGGGTGTCACTTTGATGGAGCATGATGAAAGTCTTCTTTTGTCTTGTCTTCTTTT